AATTCTCTTTGAGTCTTTAAAATCTCTTCCTGTTGGACATTTGGGTAGCTCTAATTTTGCAGGTCCATCAATCTGGCTTTTAGGCTTTCGATCTGTCTTTTATTGTTCGAGAAGTGGTTGGAACTCCATGCCCTTAGATCCTTCCCACACTCCCTCAATTTGTATTGCAGCTTATACATCCTAGACCCCTTTTGTTGCTTTTCCCAGCTGTGCTTGATAACCTTTGTGCATTGTTCCGCATCCGCCCAATATGCTTCAAATTTTAAGTACATGCTTGGTCTATCCCTTCCCGGTTCTGTGTCAATTATAAGTGGTGAATGATCAGATCCCATCGCTGGAGGGACTATAGCCACTACATTATGGAATATCATCCTCCAGGTACACGAGGTCAGTGCTCTATCCAATTTCTCCCTGACATTTGGATCCCCTGCTCTATGATTGTCCCACGTAAATTTACACCATTTGCTTTCCAACTCCATCAAGTTACTCTCATCAAGAAAGGTCCTGAAGTTCTTCAATTTGTACCCATCTCTCTCCCTACACCCTTCCTTTTCGTGATTAGCAACTATGTCATTAAAATCCCCTAGACACAACCAAGGCATTTCCATAGCTCTTCCATAGGCACTTAGTCTTCTCCACTGCTCTCTCCTTTTCTCATAATCTGGGTTACCGTATATAAAGCTCAAATGCCATGGATTAGCTATATTTTGGCCTCGCACAATGATGTCAATCTGGTTATGGTTATAACCTTCCACCTTCAACGCCATATCCTTCTTCCAAAAAACACACAAACCATCAGCTAAACCCACTGGTTCCACCACAAATTTACTATCAAATTTTAACTCTCTCCTTACTCTTTCAATTCGATTCTCGCTCATCTTGGTTTCACTAAGACACACTAGCTGGGGCTTTCTTTGGACACATAGGTCTTTTAAAGCTGAAACTATCAAGGGAGCCCCTAATCCTTGACAATTCCATGCGACAATTATCATTGAGAGGGTGGGGGCATGGGAAGGCCCGCCTCCTCAACCGTAGTAGTAATCTCCTCATTCCATTTCATCCTGATTTCACTATCGCCCTCAATCTTCCTAATTTCTTTACTTCTTTTGAACTTCCTGATTGTCCCCCTTATGAGAGGTTGAGTTTGTTTCACCATTTCTCTCTCTTATTTTGAGAAGGCCTGTTCCACTACATTTTCATTTGGGTGAGTTATCTCTGTCTCCACTTGGCCATCTTGAGTATTCCATGGTCCTGTTGGTATAAAAGCCAGCATCCCATCATCCCTCCGATACACTTTTCTTGGTCTGCCTTCCAAATGATCTATTGTGATGGACCGTTTGATAGATAGCCCCTGGAAAACATATGCCATGCAATGGTCCACCAATATCTGAAGGTCCGAGAAAGGGACTGAACTCACTTCCCGCAAAGTAAGATTTCTTATGTTGTGGGTTCCAGCTGGGACGTGTGGCTGTATTGGTTGATGGGTCTGATTTCTTTGCTTTGTGTCTTGTGGGTATGAAGGTAAAATGGAAATCTCAGTGCTAAAGGTGTTAGTTTTCCACCCAAGTTCCTCGGCCGAGTTGTTTGGTCCTTGGCTTTTGCTGAGGGGGAGGTTTTCTTCCTACATTTGGTTTGTGTTGTATTTCCTGGGTTTTGCTTGAGTGCTTTGGTTTTAGGTTTGGTTGGCCACGGGTTGGCATTGGTCTAGTGGGAAGGCCCCAATTGGGCTCCTATGGGTTATTGGTTGGGTTGGGTTTTGTGGTGGGCAGAGTTTTGTGATTTGGTTTTGGTTGGCTGTGGGTTGGCTTTGATCCAGTGGAATAGTTTCGTCTTAGCTCTTATGGGTTTTTGGTTGGGCTGGGCTTAGGGGTAGACATAATTTAGTGATTTAAGTTTTGTAAGCTATGGGTTGGCTTTGATCATGTGGGAATGTTTTATCTGGGCTTTTATGAGTCTTTGGTTGGGTTAGGCTTTCGGGGTGAGTAGAGGTTAGCCTTCATCATTTCTAGGTCATCCTGATTCCTCTTTTGGGCTAGGTATTGAGTAAGGTACTGGTTCACCTCTGGTAATCTAGAGACCGAGAGGTTTGGAATGGCATCGTCATATTGGTTTGTAGGAGTTTGTTTTGTAAATCCCTTAGCAGCACCCTTTTCTAGCTATTCTTTTTGCCTAGTGCCACGTGTGCCTTTGTCAGCAGCAGACGGTTGAGAGTGCTCAGACTACTTACCCATTTCCTTCTCCACTACCATGTCCTCTCTGTTCCAGACTGTCATATCCTCACTCGCTGTAATTGCTCCATCTTCTATACACGCTGTAATCCTCTTCTCCGGCGCCGTCTGCCTTTCCACGAGGAAATTTGTGGATGCTCGGAGATGGGGGCCAAAAGGTGTGTCTTGACCCGTTTTCTTAGGGAACCCACAACCAGCCTGGTCATGGCCCATACGCCCACAATTATAGCAGAAGTCACACAGACATTCATATTTGAGCTCTACTTTCTTCTTCGGGAAGCCTGCTCTTGGTACCCAAAAACTAGTGGTTAGAGGCTGTGTTAGATCCATCATCACCCTTGTTTGAAGATAGTTCCTCCAAATTGTCCTCTACGTAAGGCTCTTCAAATCTCCCATTGGTTTGCCCAATGTCTGAGCAATGCGAAGAACATTCTCTGCCATTATCATATCCGGTGGTAACCTATGGGCTTGCACCCAAAATGGGTCATACCTGAAACTTAGGTCTGAGCTAGCCTCATTCGGACTCCAAATCTGAAGTATCAGCAGCTGACCTTTCACGGACCATGGCCTTTGTTCCAGTACCCTATTCCTTAATCTTTCATTGGAAAAGATGAAAATGTAGGTGTCATTCTCTCCATCCCTAATCTCCACCTGATCTCCTGCCTTCCAGGCCTTCATTAGAATAGTTTTGACCACATTTCTGCTTATGGTTTTTTGGGTGTAGAGTTTGCCAACTAGGCACAAGTATTTTAGTGGGTATGTCTTGGAATCATCTGGTTTCAGGTGTATAATCGGTGTATTGATGGTTTGTGGGTTTATAATGGGGAGGTCTCTGTCTTTATTGTACGACATTTGACGGCGATTTCCAGATTCTAAGAGGAGGGACTGGAAATTTGGCAAGGTCTTTGGGGAATGGAGGGAGGGTTTGGAAAATGGATAGGAGGGAGTTGGGGAGGAGTGAAAGAAGAAAGATAACTAGAAAGGCCTTGAAAGGAGGAAGAGGAATGGGGTAAAATCAGTAACCAGAAAAAAAACCTTTTCTCAAGCAAGCCTAGAGAAAAGAAAGGAGAGATAGGTTGAGGCGATCATTGAACCAGACACTTTCTAAATCAGACCTTTACTAGGTTAGAAATCAGAGGTCGAAAAAAAGGAAGAAGATCTTCATTGGAGGCATCGCCATAGATGGGGATAGGAAAAGCTTCATCAAGAGAGAAGCGAGAAACGGCGTGTCGTAGCGTCACACAAACCGTAGTTGCAATTCACTAGCGACTCCAATAAAATGTAAAAATGCGTACACGTGACCCTTTGCACACTGACTATTCCATGTAGAATTTAGTCCACGGGATAATTTTATGGGTTACTAAAAAAGAAAAGGCAATCATAACGTCAATGGCAGAAAAGTGCACATCATTGGAACTAATTAAGATGGGACATCACAAGTAGCCCGTCAATGGAGCGAATTTTAATTTGAATTCAATTTTAATTTAAGTCTATTTAATTAAATATAAATTAATATTTTAATCAATTTATTCAAATTTTTTTTCAATGGATTTGATTTTGGATACATAGAAATCCAATCTAGTACATATATATAGTTATTTAATTGAGAGAAATTACAATATATATATACATACTTGGTTAGATTATTAATAAGATTGACATCAAATTAAATAGAAATTTTGAATAAAATGATTTGTTGATTAAATTAGGTTAAAAATTAACTTAAATTAGATCAAACTAATATTTTATAAAATTTTGTTGAGATTCAAATTTT